GAGGGAACTGAGTCCCGCCTGCCACCACTGCGACTGCAGTGAGGACTCAGCCCAGCACACGCTGGCGGTCTGCCCCGCATGGGCGACGCAGCGCCGGGCCCTCACTGCAGTCATCGAAGTGGATCTCTCGCTACCGGCCGTAGTAAGCTCTATGGCCGGTAGCGACAGTTGTTTTACCGCGGTCGCAACCTTCTGCGAGGAAGTAATCTCGCAGAAGGAGGCCCGAGTCCGACACACCACCCCGCCGCAAACCCTGGTGGGGTGACGGTCCGAGGGGATTTCCACACGTTAAAAAAAAAAAAAAAAAAAAGGCTAAAAGAAAAAGAGGATGACGTGAAAAGATATATGGGAAAAATACAACTTAGATCGGTCCAATAACTTCTATATTTATACATATATAAATGATAAACTTCAAAAACTCAAAAAGTTCGGCACCGATTAAGCTCGAATTTTGACACGAGTTTTAAACCACTTCAAAGATTGTTTTTATTTATTTTTTTGAGTTATTTTCGTTCCTCGTTTCTCATCAATGCAGCCACAATGTGCCACAGCAAAGCGTGAAAGGGTACAGCTAGTTTTAAAATAATTGTATTTAACAGGTTTTATAATTCATAAAAGTACCGTTGTATCGCTTAAGTTGAGATTATCGCGAATTATAGTTAAAACGGGTACTCAATTTCACTAAATTATTCACCAAGCGTATAGATTTATGCATGCCTAGTCCAACGCCCTCTTGTTTATTTCCAATATTATTCCCAACATTAGTATATCAGGCCAACGCATTAGCGCACCTAATACATTACTCAGATAGTAGATAGTAAATAGTTGCGACAACGATGCATCATTCGTGTTGATTCATTTTATTTTACCAAATGGCATTTAAAATATTATCTAACATGTTTCAAAGCTGTAAAAATCATTTGATACTAAATTTTAGGGTTCCTGACAATAGATGAAGGGAGTTAGAACCATGTTAGCTAAATGAATGTTATCAAGGTCGGATAATCAAGCAGATTAAAATTTTAACTCTTTAACTTTATTGTTTCTATAACCTGTTGTTGAAGAGTCGTCTCTAGTATTTTTGTCGCTAATATAATATGAAAGGAAGAAAGAGAATAAAGCAAATAAAATTAAAGAAGAACGTCTAGTAATCGATCTTCAGCTGAGATGAAATTTATTTATAACTTCATGCACTTTTGTACATCGGCGGACTTAATGCCAGATTTACCCAGAAGATTTACCCACTTTGCCTTCAAAAATTTTAAACTATGTTATGTATATTTATCTATGGTTCAGCCCTATCTGGGCTTAGCCTATATCCTATTTCCAGTTATAATATAGTTTTAAAGTTTGAAATAAAATTGAAATTGCCTTGAACATACATTTAGTACACTCAATTTAGCTGTCTTTCGTTGTAATAGGAATATAAAATCTTTTCCATTGCTTATTTTATTTGGAATCCTATAAACATTATAGTGTCCTATTGAAATCTACCTTACTGCAGATGTTCCTCAAGATTAAAAAAACTGCAAATAAAGAAAAATAATTGGATATAATAGTGGTCCTAAAATTCAGTAGAGTCGTTATAACTCCTATGCGAGACGCATAAATACCAATTGATCATTTAACACTAATCGGGGCTGTGCTTCTAAAATACCTCAATCTTATAAGAACGAATACAAGAAACCGAACAACAACAATATAACGTCATTAAACTAGAAATTTACCTTTACCAAACATTGCCGTTTATAGAAAACAAATAATTAAGTATAAGAATTGTTAGCCTCTACAAAAAGACATCTATTGTATTATTTGCCAGCCGCCGTGACGGATTTCAATAGTTGACTCGCATTGAGCGACCCCCTCATTAAGGTATGACCTCATTATAAAATAAACCTAATTTCAACACCTTTAGCCGCAATTTCTCGTATTATTTGAGCACTTAGGAAAGACACAAGAGGGCATTTTAAAAGCGCATCCATGGAATTGCGAGTGAAGCTATACACAGAATGTAGTGTGTCTCACCTACACTCAACTGCTCAGGCATGCGAAATGCAATGATAATTTATAGCTTTACAAAAAAAAACTTGGGATATAATCTCTAAATGTAAAATATTTAAAATGAAATGATTGAATCAATAAACTATTTGTTATGATATCTTTACAGATTTTTCCCTTGTTAATTATTTATACTATTTCTGTTTTAAGAAGTGTGAACGACTAATGACAATGTGTCTTGATATTATGGTCTTAATACTCGTGTAAGTGAACTCACTCGCGTGTGCATGAACTGCAAGGCGAAAACTAAAAACTATGATGAACTGTGATCTAAAATACTGTGGAAAATGTCTAACGAATTTAGTTTTTAAAATACCTACGTAAAATGTGTCGTTTTAGAAATTTTGCTGCGGAAGTACGCGTCAAAATACTGTAGCAGAAAATACTCTTTTCATGTGTTTTTTTTGATAAGCCGGTAATTTGTGGCAATGACGTGACACGGCCGTACCGCATATGATTGCCGCGCTGGAGTTTGCGCGTTCAATTCCCGCTTAGTGTAAATGTGATCAGAATGCCAATTTGCGTCATAAAAGTTCGGTCAAAATGTATTGTCATATAAACTGTCATAAAAGGTATTTTCGTAGTAATGTACGTCCAACGTTGACTGTTATGTGATTATATCGTATGGTGACCGAAAAACGATCGGTAATCTACTACTCTTAGTAATACTTTACTATTTCACTACCAAAATACCTTTTATGACAGTTGCGAGATCGAGAGTTGATCGGAATTGAATTTTGATCGAACTTTTATTACAAGATTTGGCCTTCTTGGTATTTCTATACAAAATATGTAAATGTCTAGATATAGCTATGTGTAATATAGCCCAGAAGAATGTTATAAACTACTACAATATTTTTAGTAATGAATAATCAATAATTAACCGACTTAAAAAAAAGTAGGAGGTTCTAAAAAACTGCCCCCTAAGGTTTTTTTTATGACATAGTGGATAAACGAGCAGACGTGTCACGTGTCACGTGATAGTAAGTGACTACCACCGCCCATTGAAACCTGCAACTTCAAAAGTGCGTTGCCTAACCTCACTCACTCGTGAAAAGCAGCGAAAGAATGGCTTAACATTTGTTTTCAGTGAGGCCGCGGTATCACTCCGGTCGAGCCGGCTCATATGTGGCGACGCAAGGCTCTACCACTGGATGACAGTTAAGGAATGAAGAATACAATTTAGTACAATTATCATGATGTCAGGCGCATTTACGTTGGTGATCTTTTTTTCTAAAAAAATGTTATTTTTAATCTATTCCAATCTATATAGTATATTGCATTATTATTATTTCACGATCGCAAGTAAATTAATGTAACATTCATGAAGAATAAAATAAATTCCTGTATGAGTCGTTGTCTGTGACGTTCTGATTTTTAAAATATGCAACTTTTTTAACAAAAACCTCAAAGGTCCTAGCATGAAAGCAGGTTTTCAATATTCTGTGAGGTAATCGATTTTTCAATAACTGCAATTCGTCCGAGACTTAATAAATAATTTATGAATATCGTTGCATTCATTTACAAAATTTCTTAAATTTTATAATAACTATTAAAAAGTGTCGACAGTGATATTCGGTAGATATTAATATTATCCGTACTCTTGTTTATCGTGAAATATTGGGAAATTAAAGCATACTTACTATACGTCACATTATCTGTGAATAATAAAGATATATGCAATACCAGATACGTAACAACATGTCAATATTATCAAAAGCAGTGATTGATTTTAATAAAAATTCTAGACAGCCCTGTAATTGATGACTGAGATATTTGGAGCTCTTAGCTTTACTGCGTTTCATTCGTTATCATAACAGGCGATAGCGACTGGTGTGTCGTGTTACAAATATCAAAAGTTATCTTATCGGACCTAACTCCGCTAAGGTGCAAACATCTTAAGCAAATATCGTCATTTCAGCTCAAATTTAAAATGTACAAAAAATCACAGGGCATTAACCGTCGAAAACATAATATATTTAGTTAAAACTAAATTGGCTCCAACGATAATAACGAGAAAAAACGTTATTGGCAGAAAAATCAAAAGAATCACGTGAGATCACGAGACGGCTTGAATATGGTGAGCCTAAAAGTAAACTAGTAGGTACACCAGCGTCTTCGAATATCTCGTTGGGCATGATGCATATTTTCAATTAGGTATGACAAATTCTGGTATACAAGCCCGAAATCGATGATAGACCCGATATCGGCGCCGGCCTAGATATCTCTAGAGAAGAACAAAGTTGGCATAGATATACTGAGGATCAAAGTGCAACGTGGGCGCTCGACCCAATACCGCGGACGGCACATCACTCGCGCACGCGCATCGGACCTTTTTCGTGATGCAGCTCGCAATTAATTTGTTTGTGCGCGTTAGAGAATAGATAGTCTTTATTTATTATGCGTGTAATGACATCTAGAAAACTATAGAATGTTTTATTATAAATTATCTGCAGACGATTTTTTTCTTCAAAATAATGATTTAGCGAATAATTAGTTTTACCGGATTTTCTATTTGCGTCAAAGGATTGGAATAAAACACTAAATACTATTTGGTTATGTATTTCTCTCTTAATTTACAAGTAAATTCAGATACAAAATATTACTTAAAGCCAATTATATTCCTATCCTACATATGTGAGTATAGACAAGTCGACTTGCGGAAACGCGCCAGTACCGAACTTTACGTACTTAAGATTGAGGTTATGTTGTGATAACTGTTTGGGGCAAAAGCCGGCTATGAAACCGTTACTGAAATTCGGCACTCAATTTCAATAGCGATAAGAACTAAAATAGCTTGCAAGACCGAGGGGTGGAGAGGTTGAAGTATCGGCAAAGAGTGCGCGCGCAGCCGGCATGGCTGCCACCACACATCTGACAGCCAATACAACTCGATAACATAACTGAATTACAGCATATTACACACGCTCACAACGATTTAAATGCCATCCGGAGAAATCTCACACCGATATCGTCACGTGCACCACTTCAGCCCACCGACAACGACAACTTCCGAACACGTAAAGAAATCAGCTGATTATCAAACTTTTACCGGTGTTTATGTACCCAACACGGAACTCGATCACTGGAAACGACCCGCGTTTCTCATATCACGACTAGTGGAGGCTGTCTTCCGCTATCTAAGCGAGCGGTCAGCCGTGGCCGGCCTGTGCATCGGATGCAAATCCGAGCGAGGCGCGGGCAGTGCGGCCGATGACCGGCGAGCGTACCTGGACTAGTCTGCCAGCTGAGACCTCCGACGAACATCTTCCTGTAAGTAAACAATGATCATCAGACACGGAAAAAGAGCGTTATCGATGATTCCTGGTGGCAAAATACGTACCCCGGATCGTTGGGCACCTCGGCGGGGCTTCTGGCCGCTTCCTGATTCTGGGTTTCCATGGGCTCGGGCGCCGGCGGGGCCGGGCGGCGGGCGCACTACGACTACGATCGAGCGACGACGCGACGGGGACGGCTCCCGGAGTCGCTCGGTTGCACTACCGACTACCGGCACGAGACTGGCGCGCCGCGGCGCACCCCGCCACGCAGCGCCCGCCCCCGCCCGCACCCGTCACCCGCACGGCCCGCGCTGCCGCCGCATCGATTCATTCACTCCGTACACAATTATTCATACGGCTTGCACGACGGTCGCGAGGAACAGCGTGCTGGCACCACCACGTGAACGCGCAGCACGTGCTCGCGCTCCTCCCCCCTACACCCGCACGGCCGCCATTCCCGCCCCGTCCGCGGAGTGAGCACGCCCACTGAACCACCCCCGTATACTCAAGTTCTAAAGTTCCTCAAAACTAATATATTTAATTAAGTTTTAATCAGTAAAACTGAAAAAAGGTTCTATCCATGTCTATCCATACTAGTTTGACATTTTCGAAACAATAATGTTTTACTTCAATATTTTATTTATCTGATTTATCCAAGGTCTACAATGTCTACGAAAACTATAGTTATATCACTAAAAGTGCTATGATAATATTATAGAAGCGTTAAACTAGCTCTGCCGTAGCAGTGAAAAGCGTTCGTACCCCACTTCACCGACCGGATGCTCTTAGACATTCGTAGCGGGAGCTACGAAACAACTGCTACTACATACAAGCGCACCTAATAAATATTAAATTCACGTCAACTTTTTATTTCAAATAGGGTTAAAGTTAAAGTTACACCAAATTACCCCTCAAGAAAAAAAAATCTTAAATTTTACCTAAACGGCAAAGAAGGAGGTTCATATTTCGCTTCTTTCACATTCGATATTTTCAAGTGGCATGTTTTACCATTGTGGTAAAGAAAAATAATTATAGTAAATATTATAAGGTAGTTAAGAGAAATGATCTTTAGTTAGTAAGTAAACCAACAAAGTTTATTTGAAAAAATTCTCTACTCTACTAAAATTAAGTTGAAGAAGAAAAAGACTTTTTATTTTTGTAATGGTCTCATTATTTGACTACACGTAGCTAGACCAATAAAATTGTGTAAAGAAATCTCAGTTCACCGTTTTACCGCTTCAAGACGGAATTGAAAATACCACATACCGTATCGAGTTTGCAAAATAGAAAGATTAAGGATTTCCTGCAACCTACTTTTTTTCTAATAACTTGGAAATATCAAACAAAATATTTGAAATATTATCCTCTTCTAGAATGCAGAATGTTACAAATAGGTGTAGTCACATTTTGCTGGCGAATGTTTATTAAACATGACAAATTGAATTAGAAAATTGATAAATATATAATACTATTTTTTTCTTCGCTCCGCCCTCCTATATGTCGGTTATTGCGGTAAAAAAAATAGCCTATGTTAATCGCTGATAATGTAACTTTTCTTTGTTAAAAGAAATTTTTAAAAACGTTATGGTGGTTTAGGCGTGAAACCTAACAAACAAACAAACTCACTTTCAGAGAGAGCTGACATGAACTATACTGTGTACCTAATAATATCTTCGTAAAATTTTATTTACAAATATGCACAAGCCTACCTAATATAACTTCACATATCTCACACACGGCCGTCTGATCCAAAACAAGGCAGAGCCTGTACTATAGTAACCAGACCGCTGATAAATATACTTATATGCTTATTACACGCAGACACAGAAAAAAATATCATACTCATGACACAATTATTTGTCTTGGGTAGACCACTAGACCAAGGGGCCAGTGTTCTAATAGTACCTTCTAATAGTCTAATAGCCAATCTTCTCATAATCTTATAGTACCTTCATAATGTGGGGTTTATAAATATACACCTACCACTTACTAAGTAAAGCATTTTCTGAAGAAAATAACTTTTTAACACTCTGTATCTGTATCTGCAGATATAAAAATTAAAACTCTTTCAATGTCACTTTTTAAAAAGATCTTGGCATTTTAGAAATTTTTAGTCCCTACCCAACCCATATCAATTCCTGAATCTTTTCGACCATATTTCAGAAGTTTTTAAAATTTTGTCTTAAGTCAAAATCATAGGCTTGCCAGAGATGGTATTATTTTCAAATGGTAGCAATAGTTTCTATTATGGAATGGATATCTGTTGGCTAATGTTTTTATTTGATAATTATACCTTTGCGGGACCATATCTATAGAACCGCATTCTAAGACAGTCCAATGGCATCTTCTACTTCTGGTAAGCATAATCACCCAGAAGGACATTGATGTTTGTTATTTTGGCAAACTAGCAGACAGGTAACCTGATGGTAAGTGAATGATCGCCGACATGGGCCCTTTGAGTCCTCCCCCCTAGAGTTTGGAGGAGGTGGGAAGGGGGTAACCTTACTCACTTGGGGAAAAACAACGATATATTGCTTAACACTGCAATCTATGATGCCGTAGTATCAATCTAGTCGAGCCGGCCCCTTTATGCCGAAGCATGGCTCTCCTAGTCTCCCACGGTTAAAGTGGTGGGAGTATATTTCTATCTTTAAGTTTTGGCGGTAGTATCGGTTTGGGAAATACCGCAAACCACGATTTGTTCCACAGATTGATTGTGCAAGACAAAACAAAAAGAATAGAGAATAGTAGGCAGCTTACGATTAATGATTTATAAAAACAATATATCGTGAATTATATTATTAGTAAATCATTTGGGTGGAATGAATTTTGACTGATTTTGCCGGTTAAAAATTCTGACTGAATAAGAAATATTTTTTATCGCTGACCTGTTGTATCGACATAGAACAATCCATGCTACGATAAATTGCCTTGATTTATTAGCTCTTATTAATTTTATTAGCTCTACGAGTATTAATTTTAACACTAGTAAATTTAGTGTCACGCCATTCACCTTAAAAGTTTTAAACCCATTGGTTTGTAATGTATCGAAGGCATAATTTCGCATCGCACTGCAACACATTAGACATTGTTAATAAGAAATTTCTGAAAGTGGTGCAATGTAGATACTAATGTGGAGTCAGTGTGGAATAATTAATTATATTGTTATTAAGATTAGACTAGACTACAGGATAAATTTATATACAACATTTATAGGCACGCTCTGCGCCTGGCAGCCGCTGTCAGCCGGGTCGGACGTGCGACCCGATGGACGCTGTGGCCCATCATTTTAAATTTCTGATATCTTCTAAGATATTCATTTCAATGATATGCCTAAAGGGTAATTTTGACATACATTAAATGCACAACGTATCTAACGAATTTATAGGAATAATACTGGTTTGTTTAAAAATACCTTCGTAAATAACCTATTTTTTATTTACAAGATAAAGAGACGTATAACATTGGGGAATTGCTTGTAGATCTTTTTAAGATATTCAATTCCGTATTGCATTATTTTGATCTATCTCAGAAGATTTAGTCAGCGTTAGCGATGTAGTCTTAGTATTAGCAAAAGCCGAAAACAAAATAAAGTAAAATAGGTAAACACTCTTTTCAACAGTGAAGCACCACGGCCACATTTTCAGAGAATATGATGAGCAGACTGTTTACAGTTAGGGTTAGGTGTTAAGCAATGACACAATGGTCACTCGACTAAGGTGAATAAATACAGTTTGCTCTTAAAGTTACCATGACCTGTAAAATAATTGAACGAGACAGTGATCCACCTCAAGCCATGTCCTCGACAACCGTTCGCGAAAAGGTGGAAAAAACTAGTAAATGTGGCGCCCCTTAGATGATTCGTCCCAGCGTTGTTGTCATTCGTCTTTGAGGGCATTATAGACATCGGACTGCTGTTGAAGCAATCTTGTAATTTTATCGCGATCTAGTGCACCCAAAAAATTGCATTCCATATTTTGTTGAATAGTACATGGCTGCACGTTTCTGTACACCCGCCAACACCGGCAAAGCCTCAGTGCTAAACGTCCTATATGCCTTGCATAAGAATATCAGTGCAAGTCGTCTGCCTCGTGACAGTTTGCGATGGACAGCGCCTACGGTTGCCCTAGCAGCCCATACAGTTGCACCATAGCACATAGAACCTAAATAAGTAGCTCCATCTACGAGTATGATCTTTAGTGTATTAAATGATAGCCCCCATGTTGCAGTTCATATCCTGGTCAATGCACAGAAACTCTTTTGAGACTTTCATTAACTATTTTAATATGTTCGATAAATTAATGTCATGCATCTGGGAGATTTTTAATTATGATCGTTAGGCCTTTTTTGCCTTTTTTTTTATTGTCGTAGGATGAATTCTTACCGCGGCAACCTAATATTATTTAACAAAAAAAACAGTATTAAAAGCTATAACTTAAGCTCCGAACAGATTTTTAGGAGGCGCAGAAGCTGAGAAAAATCGCGATTTTTTTCGAGATTATAGCGTGTTTTCTCGAAAAGTTTCTAACGAATTTGACTTGAGCAACTATTATTTTCTTCGTTTTTTCTTATACTACTACCTCCTATTTTTTCTTTTTCCATAAAAAATATTTTTCCCTTTACTATAACAAAACTACGATATTGCCTGTTTGACAATTATGACAATGAGTATTTTTCAATTTGCTATTTGATGAAATTGTTAATTACGTAAATTTACATATTATTTCACAGAATAACAAAGAATTACATGCACGAAAAAAACTCCGTAAAGGGGTTATACACAAAAATGGTAAAGCGGCTACACCGACTGATCGACTTATGTATACTATAAAAGCTTGAAGAAAAAAATATTTTTTTAAGTTTATTGCGCAACAAATTTTGTTTTAATTTATTATTTATGTATTTTGTATTCATAAGCCAGTTCTATGCAATGGTTGGTAATTGATTTATTGGGCATGGTAACATGTTCTTTATTAATTTATTTATTGATTCACCAACAACTGTTACACTATTTGTAACAAACAATACAAGTTCTTGACAAATTATTAAGTTTACAATATCAATACACAGTTACAACACTAAAGGGCAAATAAAAATTAATAAGTACTTACTTAATAGTCAAAAAAAAATAAAAACACGCTTTTGCAAAAACAAATAAAAAGTAGAAAAGTAGTGCTTAAAAAGCACTACTTTTACGTATTTAATGATGATTATTTTTTCATAAAGACGAAAAAAGTAACAAGTAAGATATGTTACATATGCTTCAGCACAGGCCTCTCTCATAGCAAAGCCGTTACTCCTGAAGATCTTGATCAGGATAATCCGCAAAATTTTACAAATTATTGTATTATCATCGGTTCTTGATAAGTATCTATGCGAAGTTTCAATTTAATTCGACGTAGACATGCATCATATATACATACTAAGCTAATAAAAGCGTGTTATAAATTAAATGGTTTTGATGTAGACTAACAAGA